TTATTGTACACTTAAATATTTATGTATTCTTTGCTTATAATACTGATGATAATACTTCCTGACAGCCAAATGACTCTGGAGCAGGCAAACAATATCAGAAAAAGTATCCTCATGTACTCAGTGAATCATTTGCAAATTTGAATGAAACTGGTAGTATCACTATGAAAACAAAAGCCTTCCTCATAGGTATTGAAGCTCAGGATCTGCCTCTTATCTGAGCAATAGCTAGGATTAATATGGAGACATTTAACTTTGATCTTACAGAGGTTCTTTTGACAGAAGGCTCTATTTCTAGACATTATGGTCCTAACATAGGTAATATTGCCAGCCAGGTAGAAGGAGTATGTGTTCTCCATCAGTTATAAAACAATAAAGTGTATTCAAAATAAGGAATTAAAGGAAAGGAAAAAGATTGAATTCTGTTTCAAGTGAATAATCTGCAACAGTACTGCACTGAAACAGAGAAAAAACCTGAATGTTTCTTCTCCAATTTATATAGTATATTTTAATATCAAAGATTTTTGCTAAAGAGGAGATTATTCACAAGATGAATCATTCTGATCATTCACAAGAACATCTATTATAATTTGTAAATAAGTGAAAGTTGGAAAAAATTGAACCACATTCTAAATCACGCAACTTAGAAAGTTCATTTAATTCAGTGAATCTGGGAAAAAAAAAAAAAAAAAAAAAGGAAAGAAAGGAAAAGAGAAAAAAAAAAAAAAAAAGGGAAATCTATATTTCTGGAGGAGGGAAATATAGAAAAGTAAGAGAAGTATGAAACATTAACACTTAACAAGCTTTGCAGCCTTCCTTGGTGTAATGCACAACTGTTTCTCTTAATCTCTGATTTGCATCCTTATTCTTCTTTTTCTTTCACTCAGATTAAACAATTATTCTATCAACAGTGTTTCATTTACTATCAGTATATATAATCATTTTTTGTGTATGTTTCAGAGCAAAGTAGATTGCTCTGAAAGAAATGCCTCCTATTTATTTCCATAGAAACTACAAGACAACAGCCTGCATGTCATGCTTGTAAAAATATGAACCTGTAGAAGTGATACACTGTCACTGTCACCACTCTTGAAAAGCACCACTCACCACCTACTGTGCTCCATCCACTCTTTGTTTTCCATAAATGTAAAGTCCCAGTAAATACCAGTAAGTGCCACTTTCACCGCCGAAGAGAATTCCATGAAACACATTTGCTTCATACACACTTCTGTGTTAAACACCACATTGTCAGACTGCCCCTCTGCTGCCATCTTTCACATGGCAACAACATATATTGGAATACTGGCAGGAAGGCTCAACATCCACTGCCATATCATCAACATCTGCTTCTACTGTTATGTTCCAGCATAATAGAATAGGAGGCATTACTTTCAAAGCAGCCATCATGAATTATGTGCATGATAACTGAAAGATGGAGCTGACTTTCAGTAGTTTGGCTTTCGTCAAGTGAGATTCAGGTGATAGCATCTGAAACATAACTGACAAAGTTATGTTTGTGTCTGACAAAGTGAAAGGTTATAAATTAAAGATCTTCTCTTTTCCTAAAGCTTTTTATAGCTGAACAAGTAAACTATAGATTCACTTTAATATCTTTAGTTGACGAACTCAGCTGTAAAACTGTGTGCATTCTCAAACCTGAAGATAGTCAGACATCTAACACATGCTAATGAACTCACTTTGTTTCAGTGGATGCAATTAAAGTCCACATCTTTATCTACTCTGTCCAGGTTAAAAATGCTGATATCAAGCTGCAGGACTGTACAGTGAATAAAAGCAACCTAAAACAAAATGACAACTTGAAGATGGAAAATAGGTGAAGTCCCAGAGAGAAATGATTTTACCTTGAGACAAGAATAATGATCAGGTTTGCAAGACACAAAGTTGAACCAGAAGAAAAAGAGAAACAAATTTAGCAGTGATCTTCATCTTTAAAGTCATAAAACTGTGTTTATATTTCTAGCATGAAATTTCACTTCTATCCTGCTATAAGAAATACACTACACTAGAATTACAGCTTGAGAAAAAACAACAAAATCTTTTCATCACATTTTTCCTATGCAGATTTTCCCATTGCTCCTTCAATATCAACACCATTATTTGCATTACTTATAGCTACTGTATTAGAAAAAGAGGTAATCTGTGTGCCATGTTTACACTGCTCCAAAATCCATGGGAGTTAGACCGGAGCTTTATAATGTGCTGGATATGTGCTATCTAACAATATACATTGAGTACATAAAATTCGTATCACCTATGAACACAGAACTAGCTAAATTATGCACTAAGAAAACACAAACACAAGCATTACATGAACAGACAATCCATTGACTAGACTGTCTGGTCTCTTATTATGCTCAAGGGACATATTGCTGCTGAATGCTAATCACTTGTGGAGGTGATTGTTATTCTGATCAGCGGTTTTTAGAATGCAGTCAGCAAAGGGGAGATTTATTTTAAAAGTCTGCTAAGCAATTATTGAGAGGAATGAATGGAATTTCATTTAGTTACATCAAAACATCTTTCTAGGGTATGGCTGTCTGTGGCCTGCAGTATTAAGATAAACTCTCAAATATTTAAATACACCTTCTGAAATTAACTGCTTATTAGGATCAGATTTTTTCTCTGCATTGATACCATTTGCAGCAACATTATTATATAAGAAGCAATTACTGAAGAAATGGACAGAATTTCATTTGCTTAATTCCAAAGAACTTTTAGTACCTACACTAAGGCCTGTAGTCTCCAGATAAACTAACTTTCTGAAAATTAGTCTCTTCTACTTGCCAACAGGTACACCCATGTACAAGCAGAAAGTGGTTCTATAATTATAATGATACACATTGCTTGACCTGAAAAATAAGTACTTTATTTAAAACAAACAAACAAAAAAAAGTTGAGTAAATATATATATATACTTCATAGCCTCCATAAATGAATGAATATTGCCAAGAGATTCAACAATTGTGTAATCACTGCAACTATGTGTATCTAAGCACACAAAAAACATCAGTGACTACACATTACATTCTCTAATACTCCAAATATACGTGCAGAAATACATCATAATTTTGAAATGGAACTCATCCATGAGTTGCTGAAATATCAGCTATTTTCCAGTTATACACTTTTTATTAATTTAAAAAAATTTCTAAATCTTTTCTCTTCCTCCCTAACTTATTTCTCTCTTTCATGAACTTTCTACGTATGTTGCCCAGTGCCTTTGTTTCCTTCACATCTTGTATCTCTCAGGACCTTCCATTTGCAATCCTTTATCCTGCTTCTCACTTGCAGATCTCTACCCTTTCACAGAGGCTCCCAGGAGCATGTAACCGAAGACCTCTGTGGTAATATTTTTTCTGTGTTAACATTCATGTTTGTTATTCTGCTCAGCATTCATATTAATTGCAAATCCTGATTCTTTTAGTGGTTTCCCATGGGAAGCAGTTACTACAGATGTTAGAATCACCCTTTCCTTCTCACCTCTGATTTCTACATTTGGCTACAGCTTCTGCTTTATACTTATATTATATATATTATTAAATATTATATGTCTACTTTATATTTGTGTGTTTCAGGTTCAGCAGTAAACCTAAAGCAGAACCTTCTCCAATCAGTGCACGTTCCCATCAGCAGTAACAGCATCATATGCAGGAACAACCAAAGAGGAGTTGTAGTTTGTCTTGATATAATATACAGAATTATTTTGGAAAAAGAATATTGGGGGGATCACCTTCTCTGCTTTTTCTAACCATTTTCTCTTTTTCTTTCTTCTCCTCTGCCCCAAAAAGTATTTGCCATTAGAACTAATGTGTGACATGAAATACAGACCTTGCTAATAAACCTTTGTGCAGCTGTGTTCTGTGGCCACTCTTTCCATCATTTCATCTTTATACATTATATTTAAGAAAACCAACTATTTTTATTTCCCCTTACATTATACTAATATCCATTCATCACTTCTATTATTAAATGTTTTAGTTCTTTGCTTTCCTAATTTTATAAACTTTAAAATTTATTTGAAGTATCACAGAGAATTTTGTATTCCATTACTGCATATATTATTTATGTTTTCCTTGCACCCAGAATGTGCTAAAGTAACATTCTTATATTTTTAATCAAATCCAAATCCTCAGTGATCTTAAGTATAATCTATACCACACAAAACTGAAAATTGAATGCATACATACATGAATTTTCTTATCACAATATGATATAATTACTGATATTACAAAACAAATAATGCTTTCAGTCTTTCAGTCACCTCCTAGTGCTTACAGATGACTGAAGAACAACAAAATTCAATGTGGATCAAGAGATGTCAAGATTTTCAGAGGATAAAAACTCTACCAAATAAATGGTGTGACTGTAATTTCACAGATGAAACTAACATTTCCTATGCAAGTGATTTTTGTTGTTTGGACACTTCTAAACAGTAGTAACTGAAGAAAAAAGGTCAGCTCTTGTGTATATGTTGGAGGCAGACTAACACATATGAAACAAAGAAAAATCTTACCTGAAGTGATTTATCATATAATCTTATGATTTCTGTTAGAAGAAATCTTAAACATCATCCAGTTCCAAACACCCTGAAATTGTTTGAGATACCTCCCACTACATTATTTTGCCCATCATTCCATCTAGCTGGCCTTGAACACCTGTAGAGACAGGGCACCCACAACCTCCCCCAGCAACCTGTTCCAATACTTCACCATCCACATAGTGAAGAATCTCTTTTTTGTATCTCATCGAAGTCTAATCTCTTTCAGTTAAAAACCTTTACTGTTGGTGCTACCACTGCACTCTAATGAAGTGGTCCATCCCATATTTCCTGTGGTGTCCTTTAAAACACTGAAAGGCTGCTGTAAGATCTCTCCAGAGTTTTCTCTTTTCCAGGCTATACAATCCCAACCCTATCAGCTTGTTTCTCAGGTAGTACAATACTATTAACTTTGTGTTTTGCTGTATGTATATGTTTTTCTTACCCGGGACCTCTCTTCCAATTTTGTCATCATGACAACAGTTGCACCACGTTGCTCCCACATCATTCTCCAGAAGTCTCCAAAGGTTTCTGGCAATGCCCCTTGTGTTGCTATATATGCATTCTGCTTTCTGTATCCATCTATGTAGTTGGCATTGATATAGTCACTTCCTGGTATGCCTGCAAAAGAAAGAAGAATGAACATACTAGGCAGCATTTCTCTGAAGTCTTATTGTGCAAGAGCTAAAAATCCTATTACAAAGCTGAACTGTAGAATCTGAAAGTGCTGTATATCATGTAATACATACGTTCCTGAAAGTGAGTGCATGCAGCTTCTTGGGTATGCTCGCCACTCTGGGAATATCCATTCTTTTTAATTAAATGAGCCAATTTGATAAGGAAGTAAGAAGTCTGAAAATATATAGGGGGAGAAACCTGGGAGTGAAAACAGCAATATGCACAAGCTGGTTTGTCAGTGCCTGCTGTCACCTATTCACATAGAATCATCTCCTTTGACCAGGCAGGGCAGCCTCCCCACCAGCACCCTGAATAGGCTTCAGTCAACTCTCTCATTGAGCTCATTGCATTTCTTTCAAATACAGAAAAAGATTTCATGCTGCCAGATTATTGACATTATTGACATTTGCATTTTTCCCAATAAACAGGAGACAAAATAGCTTTATTTTAACAAAAATTAGCAAGCAAGTAAAAAAACTGGAATCTTCTGTACATTTTATGCATGAAATATAGACATTTACAAGCCTGAAATTAAATACTTGAAATGGAGACAGAAGCCAAGAGAGATACTTTCACACTGGACCTACACTGTCATTCTCCCGAGACTCTGATATGTTGGACTAGACAGGGACCTCAAGTATGCCTACCAGAGCCTTTGGCAAGTAGGCACTTGCTCATTTTGTCTACTTACAGTCCCACATGATGTTGAGCCAGGTCTTGGTCTTTGGTTATTTCAGTGAGATCATGATTGCTATGGCTGTTCTTAGAGATAAGCACATAAGTGTCATAAAATACTGTCTGCCTAGATGCTAGCTGTAGAGGAGATCTTGCTGCTCTGAACTAAAAACAGAAGTGCTGGCAAAAAAAAGAGGTAATTATAGCCATATTGATATCAGTCCCACATCCACAGGATTCAGTGGTGAATGGTCCAGCTGTTGGCTCAGACTATATGCATGCTGCCTAGAAACAGAATTATGATGTCACTACTGCTGCTGCTGACTGGAAGAAGACAAAATATTTATGTGAGATCACAGGGCAGGTGAGATCCCTGAGCAGTGTTTCCCATATCACTGCTGTGTTGAGCATTAAGGTGTTCCCAAGAAGAATTAGCTGAAATACACAACTGTGCATTGTAACAACAGGTTACAAAAGGTATGCTAATGTAATTAACAGAAGCTACTTCCTCTCTGTTTAAAAATTAATGCCTATGTTTGCACAGCCAACATACTATGTCCAAGTCTACAGCCCCAGGATATGGAGCAGGTTGCACCAACAGTTTCATAAGGCAGTCAAGGTGATACAACCTCACAGACTTATTCTAAAGGTGTGACTATTTTGACTTCACAGACAGTATTTCACTTCACGGAAAAAAACAGAGTTTCTTTCGACATAAATCACAAGTTGCTGAATAAGTTCAATGGAGTGTTTCTCAAGCTTTCTGTCAGAAGCTGAACTTCCATAATTATTCTGATTAGTCATCTTCTGCTGGTGATCACAATCTAGGAATGATCTAGGGTGTGTACTCCAGTCTTACTTGACAACCAGTGGCATATATCTGAAAATATCTTCCAAAATAATAAAAGAAAGGAAATCTGAAATTATTCAGATTATGAGTTACTGTAACTATAATCTGGCATTAAAATTTGCCTTTATGTCCCCATAAATTTGATAGGTTTCCTTATTTTTTTATGTTCAAAATATATTTAAACAGAATTTTTAACTTGATTTGACTTTCTGTGCTAGTAAAGGAAAAACTTGACAAAATGTTTTAGAACAGGAGACCTTATAGCTTCAGGGGTACAAGACAGGCAACAAATGGCATTCCTCAGACAGGATGCATGGACACAGGAAGACTGGCTGACTATTATTAGAAGTGATTGAAATTCTCTTCTGTGAAAAACAATAAAATGTATCACCTTCAAAACATAATCTATAGCTGAAAAGTGTGATTTACTGCCATAAGAGGTTGGAGTTCAAAAGCCTCACTCTTGAAAACTTTAATTTTTTTACACAAGAGTTCTTATTGTGGAAATTGGAAATAATAGCTTAGAAAATACAATTTCTAGGCAGAATGTCGTATTTTCTTCCCCTATCAAGATAATAAAACATTTTTGCACAAAACAGATAAAAAAGTAAAATGATGCCAACAGGAGAAATCTACACCAACTGGGTATTATTACCAAAAGAACTGAGAAAGCTGGTAAGAAATGTTTTCTGCATAAATTAGAATTTCATTATGATGACTGCTATCATACTTTGAAGCATATGTTATAAATAAAAGCCTGAGGAAAAAATGAAAAAGAGAAACAACACTTTGTAAAGTGGTTAAATGATCTTATGGGAAACCTGTCCTCTAGAGCTGATACCGCACAACTCAGCATGAAAATTAAGCATAAGAAGTATTGCAAACTGTGCAGTAAAGAATGATCTTTATAAATATCTGCAGCCAATACTACCGGTACTCAATATAAATAATTCCAAAATTTCTAAAATTGTTAATACTCACCAACTTATATTGCATTTATCAATAAATCATATTGAAATAAATACCTTCTAAATTAAATATATTATAATTATTTAAAATAGAAGGAAGACCCTGTTCCAGGGAGTGGAACACTTCTACTATGAGGACAGGCTGAGAGAGTGGGGCTGTTCAGTATCTAAAGGGGGGATACAAGAATGAAGAGTACAGATTCTTTAGCAGGGCCTGTGGTGATAAGACAAGGGAAAATGGTTTCAAATTAAGAGAGTGAGATTTAGACTGGATATAAGGAAAAAGATTTTTTTACGATGAGTGGTGAGGCATTGGAAGAGGCTGCTCTGAGATGTGACGAATGCTCCATCCCTGTAGACATTCAGCTCAGGCTTTGAGCAACCTGACGTAGCTTGGATGTCCCTGTTCATTGTAGGGAAGTTGGACTACATGACCTTTAAGGGTCCCTTCCAACTCAAATGCTTATTTGATTCCACAAAGTAAAGCTAGTTTTCAGATTGTATTCATCAAAAATGCAAGAAGGATAATCAAGATTAATAATTATAGGTGTTTTCAAAGAAAATGAATACACAACTAGGTTAAAATGGAATTTTCCACTTGATTTCAGCAAGAGGCATAAAATGTCTTACGTGTTCTTTAGCCAGAAAAATCCTTTTGCAAAATTACTTGGCATTATGGTGCATGAAAAAAATGTTGGGATACGAAAAGGAAGGTCTCTTCACTACAGCCCCAGAGCAATAACTCATGACTCAGCTAATTCATTTCATGGAAAAAAACAACCCCAACTATCTAAACAATATTCACTCTGTGAAGATTTTTGTCTAAGAATTCTCACCAGCAGTAGACAGGACTCTATAGGATTATACTCTGACTGAGATGAAGAGAATTCCAAGCACTCAGGTCCATTTTGTGTTTCCTTTATCCCATTAGTATTATTTTCATTTTTTGCGTTGAGTCTCCTTATTGCAATCTATATGCATGATCTCAGTTTCACATTATGTTCCAAATTCTTTTCATTTTCTGTAATACCATTTTCCTATTCTAACTTTCTGTCTCGCACTTTGCCACACTGATTTTTCCTTCATCAACTACATTGCTACAATTTACAAAACCAAGGCCTTCAAGGGAGGCTGTGTTATCCTAAGTGGTTTAATGAGGTGTGTATAGTTAAAAATAACATTTACCAAACCTAAACATATGTAAATATCTACACTAACCAAGCAGAAACAATTATCAAAGAAAAATAAATCTGAATATTAAAATGTTACTTCTTGGTTTGCCTTTTCTGCTCATAACCTTATTCTGAGCTGAGAAAGCTGAAAAATTCTCTGTCAAGTCCAATAGTGCAAAAAACAATCACATGGCAACTAGTTTCACTGCAGTACACTGGAAACCTTTGTTAGTTGGCATAGCCTGAAGGGCATACCAACATGTACAGAGGCAATTGCTGAATCATTACTGAAATTCAGATGTAAAATTTAAGTGAGGTCATTTCCATGAAAACATGGGTCAATGAGGAGACAAAACATCTAAATTCTGCCTTCAGTAATATTGGTATGACCTGTAACTAACTCTATTGGCATCAGGAGGATTTACTTAAGACTTAGAATGGCTTACCTTAAGTGTTATTTTAAACTAATGCAAGTATGATTTGACTTCTACAAGTTTTATCAAGGCAGAGTTTCTGCATAAGAAGTCAACTTCCAGATTGTAATTGTACTATAACTATTTTTGAGTAACCTTTTCAGCTCTAGTTATAAATGACCAGAGTACACAACCTCCTTATTCTGTCAGACAGGAAACAGACACAATAGGATCGGGTGAGTAGATGAGCTATAACGATACCCTATTTTCAAATACCTCAAGAGATTAAAGTTGAATTTTTACAGAAAAAGAGTGAATGAACAATAAAATAAAATCAGCCAATGACAGAATTCAAGTGTAAAGGGTTGAAAAAAGCACTTAAACGCTATATCTATTACTTTATGGTGAGTCTGTACTCATGAACTGACGTGTCAGTATTGTTCGTCTCTTTACACACAGGGATCCTCGCTGCAAAGCTAATAAAGCAGACCTCAGAGTTATTGATTCGGTTATCTGAAGGTAGTTATAGTCTTAAATAGCTTTAATTAGATTTTATATTTTATCTACAAACTGAAACCAAATCATGAAAGTATTTCAAGCCTTTACAACTTCTAAATTTTGGACAGTCTTTCTATTTAAAAAAAATATTAGAGCTCTGTTTCTGTGCTGCTTTTCTAACAGATGTATTGTTAGTCATAAAAAGAGTATGAAGAAGTACGATTAAATGCTTGTAAACAAGAACAACGTAATGACAAACTGAAAATGTTGATGAAGTTGTACTCTTGGGTTAAATAAATATCTGTACTTTGAACAATATCAGAGCAAAACCAAATTAAGAGTAGCTAGTAGATACCAGTAACAAATG